AATGTATTTTTTATAGTCACCTCTGATTTTTACATAAATTTAAAAAGTAATAATAAAGTCTTATACATACTTAATTTACATATTGTTTATAATGTATTTCACCTAGAATGATAAAAGGTGTATTTGACGCTGAAATCATCTGTGGCCCCTAATTCGATTTTGACAATTAATGACGGTACAATCATTATGATTAACATGTATTTTTGTAGCATCATTACTTAGTGAGGTCACAATGATGATGATTGATTTGACAATTATGGTTTTCATACCCATATTGATGAATTCCAATTGTTTTTCAAAGGATATGTATGAAGGTTAATGACAGATTAGTTATAAATGTTGTTTGGTGCTGAGAAATACTTAGAGTAGTTTAGGTTCTTGCTTTTTCTTTGGCTATACTATAAAGGGGGTATGAACAGGTAAGCTTGATCTATGTGAGTCTAGTGAGTGAATACGGTGCACACTTGTGAAAATTAGCACTACGGATCTCAAATGAAGCCCAAGAATTTATGAAACCCAAAGCCAAAGTCAAATAGTCTGTTCGCTTGTTGGTTTCAGCCAGAGCTTATCAGCCAACCAACAGTGTTTTCCTCTCACAACAAACCAGCACCAGTCGGGCTTATCAGTCCAGAAACCAACCAGCGAACAAGCCGAAAGTGTTTGAATTGGAGGAGTTTGGCCATTTTTATATGCACCGGATTTCTTTGGTGTGGGCATAGGAGAATACCAACAATCGGGGTGTTCGGCTGGTAAGTTTTCGGATGATTTTGGATGATTCAATAGTATTCTGTGTGAGAGAATAAGCTGAAACAAGCTGAAACAAGCCCACACTTGATCAGCCGAACGGGCCAAATGCCAGGCTAGGGTTTGCTCGGACAGCGCCCACGTATATTTCTGCAGAGAAAGGAAATAGAGAGGGTGCAAAACTGTTTGAGAGATGCTTAAGGCATAGGAATTCTCCGGTGCTCATCGGAGAACAAAAACGGATAGGGTGTTGTGGCCAACTTTGAGCCAGTACTCTCTAGATTTCTCTATTGCATCACCAGAGAATAAGCTCTGGAGAAATTGTATAGTAACAGTGATACCGACGTTTAAGTCTGTAGAAGGGCACCAAAATTCCTCGACGATGCACCGAAAATGCATCAAAGAATTTTGGTGTGTGTTTTTTGGCTGAGTGGAGTTTTAACAACTATCTAGTTTCAGTTGTTGGCCTATATATACAGCCCATCCATTCGTGCATTTAGAGTTTCTTGGAAGCCATAAATAATTAGACACATATATTTTTGTTCAAGAGAGTGATTTGGCCTATTAGAGTGATTGGAAAAATCTTAATTGAAGATTAAGGACTCCATTAGTGAATAGGGAGTAGCAAGTGTGTATCCACTTTTCTCATTAGGCTTAGTTCGGTCAAGCGAGAGTTTGTGCTTATTACTCTTAGTGATCAGCATCGCCTAGACAACTTGGTGGTAATCGGTGCTTGGTGATCTCCCAATGACGGTTGTGAGAGGCCCAAGTTGGTGTACATGGTCTTAGTAATAAATCCACCGTTCCAGAGTGAAGAAGGATCAACTTTTAGAGAGCACTTGGTCCTTACACGGATCAAGGGGGAGTTATACCTTGCAAGGTGCTCTAACGGGGACTAGTGGCCTAGTGGGAAGTTCCAACTCTTCGATACCTCGGGAAAACATTGTAGTGTTCGTTGCCCCCTCATTGCGCATTTACTTTCTTGCAATTTACATTCATAGAATAGTCATGCTAGTGTAGGGTTCGAAGTTAGGGTGCAAAACTTTTATCCGATAGGCATAGAGTACTTTTAGGCACAAGGGTGAATTTGGCTAAGCAATAGGTTTAAGTTTTGCAAAAAAAATATTAGCCTAATTCAACCCTCTCTTTTGGGCATCTTGATCCTTTCAGATGCATTGCGAAGTTGGTGACACCGTACCGCAAGTTGGTGGTGTTCTATAGTCTGAATAAAACTTCCAAAACATGTTGGATTTTATCTCTTTTTTTCCTTAGGTCAAAAGGGATGTGGTGTCCTAGTGGAGGATGTTGGGAACACGTGGACTTGTTCCCAACCAACTTCATTATTAACCGTTCATGATCCCAATATTCAATCAACTCTTCTATTGATCCATGTAAATACTTCTAAAAATGGAAAAGTACACACTTTATTTATGGTGCAACATCAATTCATCAAATCTATCAAAGCTAAACCTAATATAGAATGGCTGCACCTTTGGTTCATAAGCGGTGAATATGATCATATCCGAGCCGATGATATCCTCACCAAATATGCTCCATTGAGTCATCTTCATCGGAGTTGTATAAATGAAGGTCCCACAATATTTAGCATTCCATTGTGTGATTAGGCGTGCATATATACATATGACCACACATTCTTACATTTGAGTTAGGCTCAATTATTTCTAAGATTGTGTTTGGTTTTGAGGACGAGGGAGAACGTGATTGGACGGTCCTCTTTTAGGTGGTGTTGTTGTTGGAGAGTGGGAGGCACTAGGTCATTCTCGAGAGAAAGAAGCATAAGAGTTTGTCCTTTGTTCACATTGTCACATGTTGTCTCCTCTCCACACGTCGAGCTATGGGTAGCGCCGGTATGGGTGAGCTCTGACACGGCCACATCGATCACTGGCATGACCACATCGACCTCTGGCGCAACCGTGCAACCAATTTCGACCTCTAGCGTGGACGAGCTGACCTCGTGAGCATTTGAGCACTCTCCCCCATCACCGCGAGCCCCTACGGCCTCATGCCCATCCTCACCGCGCCTACACCGGCCATCGCTCTGAGCGCCCGCATATGCTCTTCCCGTGAGTGCTCGTGGCCACTGATGTTGGCCTCACCTCTAGCCCCTGCCCCGGCTGGTGGATGTGTTGTGAATCTGTTGTTCCATGGGAAAGAATGAGGAAGAAGATGAACGGGACACACATTCGAGCCCCGCCCTAACGGTTGCTAATGGATCAAAATAGCCAACCATCCCCTCAATCTCTCCATCCTTCCCACCAAACATAAAATAGGGATGACCCTATCCCCTCCATCAAACAATAAAATGAAAATCATCCTATTCCTGACAATTGGGAGGGACTCGTTCCATCCCATCTTGTCTACAAACCAAATGCAACATTAGATTCCAACCCATATATATTAATGTGGGCTGGTATTGAAGTACTCCCCCTGTCTCACAAAAAAAATGCATCATAGGATTTGTAGCATAGAGTAATGATCAAGCAAAATTACTTAATTATATAAATCTCAAAACTACTAGTGGACAGAGATAAAAGTACTGAATAGTAAGAATATAGTGTTAAACAGTGTCATAATGTTTTTCTTTGTCAGACAAATTTTGAATCGGATGGGGTAATCATGAAATAAGGAACAAACATTCAAGTTAAGCGTTTGTATATAGCTAGTGACAAGACGGGTGCGTTGGTTTGACGGAACACAATGTATAGATCCGAATATGACTGGTAGCAGCAGGTAGGAAGCTAAGTGCGCACGATCGACGACGAACGACGACGATGGTGAGACATTTAATGTGACGGGTGAGATGTAATGTAATGCGTGAAATGAGTGAGTTGAAGCCATAAGGATCCACAGGTAGGGTAGAGCTAGGATGGAAGAGGTGATCATGCACATATGTAAAAGTGGTGATAGATTTGATTAGATGGATCGAGGGAAGAAAAGATTGGATGATATCCCCCAGCTAGGCCGGTAGCCCGTAGCCGCATATATATCCTCTTTCCTGCTTTAGCTTTACCACTCCACCTCCACTCCACAATCCACATAGGATCATCGGGGGATCGGACTGCATGCGTGCGCATAATTCATTGCGCCTTGAAATCGGTTGCGCCGGCCAGCCCGCCCGGCTTCGCCTGATCAGTCGATCCATTCATCGGCGGCAGATCGAGTGCGCACACTAATCAATCAATTACTTCAGAATCTGATGATGATGATGCAACTAGCTACGTACTACTCCTAGAAACATGCATACAGTAGAGTAGATGGCTAGATAGACACCGATAGACAGCCAGCGATTGCTGCGCAGGTCTACATCCATTTCATTCATTCTTCAACGAGTAGCATCGTCGTCTCGTTTTCTTTCCGCATCGATGGGATGGTGGACACGACCAAAGAGATCCAATTCAGAACGAGTGGGCTCATCGCACCATTAGCTGGCTAAACTTTCTGCTTTCGCTGCTGGCGGGCGCGGTTGCACCGACGGAGGACGACGACGTAGAAGAAGAACGAGACTGACTGACAGATGATGAGCTGCTGAGCTGAACTTTTTTTTTTTATGAGGAGTTGCTTTTTTTGAGCAGGCGGTCCGCGTCGACTGATTCATGCGCCCAGCCCATCTTTCGTCCAGCAGGCTCGATGAGCCGGCCCACATGAAGAAGAACAAGTGAAGGGCGTCAGAGCCCAGACTTCTTCGGAGCCTAGCCCATGTATCTCTACGATAGGTACGGAGCCCGCGACGAGACGAGCCGGACGGACCGAATAGCGAACGCAAGCAGGAGCCACCACTTTCCACCGCACCCCTCTTCGCTCCGGTCCGGCGAGCGAGTCGTCCTGCCGCCGGTATCCATGGCGGCGGTGGTGCGCGGCGTCTTGAGGGGCATCAAGGAGAAGGGACTCACCAACTTCATCCGCGACGTCCGCGACGAAGGATACTTGTAACCCCTCAACTCCCGTCAATATCTTCTCCCCTGCGCAGATCAGATGGCCCCCATTTCGATTACGATCTCGATCCAGATCTCTCCTCTCTTCCCTTGCTTTATATTATAGATAGATTCCTCACCGCTAGTATTTTTTGTTTGTTGCGGATCTGACGGACTAGTTTCCAACTTTTAATTTGTTTCGATTCGGCTATTCCTGCGGTGTGCGCTCTAGCCTCTGGGACGGGGAAAATTACAAGTAGGGTTCCTCTCCAGATACCTTTGAATCGCTATTTGGTCCACCATAGTGTCTAGGATAATTCTTAGCTCACACAACACCACAATGGCAAAATCACTCATGCCGCTTAACACCACAATCACTTATGCTGCATATGCATGTGTGGATTCATTTCAGGTATAAATCAACTAAAATGTCAGTTTACTCGTGTGCAACATATAGCATACATTGCTTGCTTGCCACTGCTTGTTAGATTGATCCATTCCACAGCCACCTGTATATACCTTTCCTGCATGTCTCGAATTTTTATATGATGAAGTAAGTCCAAGACTATATGAACTAGGCATGTAGCCTTGTATATTGTATAGCAACTTTTTTAGACTGTCGGCAAACCTAGTGTCATGGTTCATACCAATTCCTTCCTGGTGTTCATGCATTCTTTTTTCTTGTCTTCTGTTGTATACCTTAGTACCACGTGCATGTTCAGTCAGATCAAACTGCTTGACCAGACATTGCAAATTATGGTAATTAGTAGTGAAAGCAAGAAGGGCAGGCCTGGTGCAAGCGGTAGAGTCTTACCGCCTGTGACCGGAAGGTCCCGGGTTCGAGTCGCGGTCTCCTCGCATTGCACAGGCGAGGGTAAGGCTTACCACTGACACCCTTCCCCAGACCTCGCACAGAACGGGAGCTCTCTGCACTGAGTACGCCTCTTTTTTTTAGTAGTGAAAGCAACAGAATCTGCTACTCCATGTGCCAACAATTAGTGTAATTAATCTTGATGGGCTATACTTGGTTCACAACAATGATTACTTACAGATTTCCACTTTCACCTGGAGTCCTTCAAAACGACACAGTATACCACCAATTTCAATTTTAACTGTTTACAGTAGCCATGAAAGTTTGGCTGTCTTGTTTTATAATCCTTTACTTTTCTGCAATGGTGTGTCACCATATAAATTGTGTGTCGCATGTTTCTATTTCGAGGAATTGTTTTTGTGTCATGCCTGATATGAGTTCTCCAGTTTTGGAGACAGCTAAATTCTACAGTGCAGATGTAAATGTGTTGTTGCCATATTCTAACATCTTGTTATTTACAGCAAATGCCTTCTGGATGGGAACCTTTTGTAAGTGGCCACCTACCTGTCCTCCATTTTCAAGGAATGGGTGTGGTTATGTGTCTCAGCTGTCAGCACAGCTAATCTCTCTTTTTTTCAGGCAAACGAAAATTCACAATATTGGCGCAACACTTGTAGGAGTTGACAAGTTTGGAAACAAATACTATGAGAAACTACATGACACTCAGTATGGTGAGTAAACTCTGTTCTGCTAGTTGATGTGCCATGGTTGTTTTTATTGTGAAATTATTATGTGATTCGAATTTAGATCATGAAAGCAGTAGACTGTCATTGGCAGCAATTGTATTTCACCTCTTTTTTTTCTTCTCGATTCTCAAACCTATTAGATAAATACCTTAGCTGTTATTACTTTGGGCTTCACTTCACTGATGTGCATGTATTTGTAGGAGCAAAATATCTCTTGCATTGCTGGTCATTCCCCCTTGATAGTACACTAGAACACTAAGCATGGTAAATTTTGCAGGGAGGCATAGGTGGGTAGAATATGCAGAGAAAGGTCGTTACAATGCATCCCAAGTGCCTCCTGAATGGCATGGATGGCTGCACCACATCACAGATAGCACTGGGGATAAGGCAAGTTTCCCTCCATGTTATTTGCTTTAATTCCTGTAGTGTTCATGCTTCAGTCTTCTGACGTGCTTGATGCCTTGTTTCTTTGCCTTGATTATGTGAAGTGACTTTACAATTGAGCACCAGTATTGATGATTTGGGATTTTGTTTAATATAGATGAATAAAATTTGGTTTCTCGGAACATGTTTTTTTATGTCACCCACATTTTTGGGCTATTTGCCTGAGGGGATGTGGGTGTCTATTTCATTTGCTGCAAGGAGCTTCAAGGCGATATCTTAATTAGTATCTGAAAATCAAAATTGGTTAAGCTGATTTGGTGTCTTTTTTATTTTTCCTGTGTTGCAGCTCCTGAACCAGAAGACTGCTAGGTACCTTGTAGAGCACAAGCAGAACTACTCCGGTGAGGGTGAAGAGCTGATCTACCACTCCAAGGGGCATACTTTGAATCCGGGGCAAAGGGACTGGACGAGGTATCAGCCCTGGGAGCCAAAGAAAGAGCAAGCCTAGCTCCTGAGTACATTGTGGGGAAGCTGCTGAAATGTTTGCGTTTTCTTGCATTGGGTCAGGTATCACCGAGCTGAATAGCCTCTGGGTTGTTGCTTGGACTGGGCCCAAATAATGTTGTTCTGAATACCAATACTGTATAATTCGATCATCTTTTGACATTGAAATGTTGTTGTTACTGCTGTAAAAGAAGCTTTGGGGAATATCTCATGCAGTTGTTACTGCCTTCGGTTATCTCTGAAATTGTACGAGAGAATAACAGGTCTGGTTGAGGGAGCTGTCTACCCAGCTGTTGGGTGGTGTTTGGACACCTCACACTTGAATTTCATGACCATGGATGAAGATCCAACGCTCTACGGCTTTCTTGTCCATCTCTTTACTTAATCGTACCATGAACCATTTCTCCGGTTTCTACCCCCGACAACCATCTTCAAAGCTTTTTGGGCTGAACTGCATGTCAATCAACTTCTATCTATATGATTTGGGAGGTATTTGGGTCGATATTAGTTAATTTTTCACGCAAGCATCTCACAACTCATGTGGATTGATGTGCTGCTAAACAAACTATCACTGCCTCTACCCCCGTCATCGCACCAACATGATTTTGCGGCGGCATCACCTTGATGCTTCTGTCCCGTTCTTAGCAGGCGGAGGCCAATGTTTCTGATTCAGAAACATTTACGTTATCATATTATAAATTATTACCTAAAGTTCTTGTTTCTGTTCCCATTCCATGTTTATATTCCCTTCTAGGAACCTGACTACTAAGGTCCCATCCGCCTACCTCATCTTTGTCGAGGCATCACCGAGACACTAAAACCCTTACCCATCCAACCATCACTGCGATGCTCTCACCCCTGCCCATCCAACCATATTTCTCCTCTTTCCAATGTCATTGCCACCCTCATCACCGCCGCCGTCAGTCTAGCCTTTTGTCCTACATTTATCTCTTTTTTTTTGACGTCCATCAGAATCCTGGCCCAAGACCCAAAACCTCGAACCTTAGCCTTGTCATAGGTGTTGTCAAGGTTGGAAGAGACAGCCTTGTGCTCAAACCGGACAGATCAAAGATTGATTTGGGCATAAATCAGGCATAAGAGGAATTGAATATTGAATGTCACCAAAACACTTGAATTCTCTTTTGGATTCCTGTTTTCAATGATCGGAGTGAGATACTAGTTGGACCGCTATGTGAAGAGAGCCGGAGATGAGAAGGTCATCATCACCGAGTCAACTAAACTTTTGGGTCATCAATCCACCCCACACTAACAACTCAACTTCTCCGGGTCATCTCCACACTAACCCAACTTTTGGGTCATCGATCCACCCCATACTAACGGTCCAACTTCTCCGGGTCATAATTCCACATCCACGGTAACCTAGCTTTGTCCGTCACCAAGTCAAAACCAACTTGTTCGGGTCATCAATCCAACCTACAATGACCTAGCTTTTGCCCATCCAACAATCCAACTTTTTGGGGTCATCAATCCACCTCCACACTAACTTAGCTTTGCTTGTCACCAAGTCAAACCCAATTTCTCTGGGTCATCAATCCACCCCACACTAATCTATTTTTGCTCACCCTAACTTCTTCAAATCACCAACCCACCCCCACGCTAACCTAGCTTTGACAGGGCATCAATCGATCTCCCACCCCCATAGTAACCTAGCTTTGTTGAAGTATCACTATGACGTCCTCACCCTTGTTCTGTCCAACCGTCTTCCTCTATTTCCTGATTGACAGTATCACTACTGTCTCGTCTCATCGCTCCTTTCACTTGCTATTACTGTCAGTTTAGTGTTTTGCCCTATATTTTACCATACTTTTCTAAGCCCATCTGAATCCTCGCTAGAGAGTAGAGACCCCAAGACTCTAACACTAACCTTGTCAAAGCCGTTGCCAGGTTGAAGGAGGTAACCTTGTTACAAAAGAGGTTGATTTGGACATGAACCGTCGGATAGAGATGTTGAGTTTTTTATGTCGCAAAAAATGCTCGAATTCTCGTTAGGATTCCCGTTTTCTTATGATCGGAGTGAAATAGTTGCCAGGCCGCAGAAGAGTTCAGACGCAGAATCAATCAATCTGCTGTTCTCCATTTGACTGACGGATTTGCTCGCCCAGCTGCAGACCGGCCGGGAGGGCAACACCGACGGCACAATCCACTGAACACGCACTCCTACGTAGCCTAACAGCAGGCAGACGTGCCCGGCTGCATCACCGATCTCTCTCCCTCGCTCGTCCCTTCCGCAGGGGCGGGCAGCCGCAGCCCGCAACTACCTACCTACCCACACGCGACTCACGCACGCACACGCAGCCGCTCCTCAAACCGCAGGCGGACCCAGACGAGACGTGCCAAGAACCTCCAGCAGGCCTTGACCGTGTACGCTCAAGTGCTCAACGCAAACGAACACGAAGCCCTCCTGCTCCAATGGCCTCCCATCCTCCTCCTGCGGAGCCGTCTTCTGACTCCAACAAGGTATGGATGGACGGGCACGCCCTCCTCGCCTTTGGGCTCCAGCAATTAACTACATCGATTATCGCTTTTGTTCTGTTTTAGCATCTTCAGCTTTCCATCTTCTTTCTACTGATTGATTCATGCCCCCGTCGTCCTCGATTGTGCTTGCGCCAGCAGGGGCAGAGCGAGCAGGAGGAGATCCACGTCTCATCCGGCGGCGTTCAGGCTTACACCGACGACGACGACTGCGAGAGCAGGCGCCCCTTGCTGCTCAGGGCTCCCGCCTCCGCCGAGTGCTACTCCGTCTCCGCCGCCGTCTTCCCGTGAGTCTAATAAGCACCCCTCTCCACTTCCATTCTTCTCTTGTACTCTACCTGCTACAGTACTTTTCATGATTCCTACCCTGCGCTCACCAACATTCAGCCCGTGCCCCAAATCTTGTTCTCGAAATTGTGCTTCGTCTCTCCATGGAATGGATTACAGCTTCCTCTCGAGCCTCTCGCCCAAAAGTCTCTGCTCTGCCTTTTACTGCACAAAATTCGTACAGTTTCAGCTCCTTCTTGGCATTTCACCTAACAGATTCAATGCCTGACAACCAACTTTCAGCCTTTTAGGCAACCGGTTGCCATAGTTTTCATTAAAAAAAAAAAAAGAATAACTTTGTGCACTGCACACATGTACAGTTACCTTACCAAAGTCTTCCCCTGTCTGTTGAATTTGTTGCAGGTTTTTCTTTCCAGCTTTGGGAGGCCTTCTCTATGGCTATGACATTGGGGCAACATCCGGTGCAACCATATCACTCAAGGTATCACACTAGTGCTAATCTTGTTATTTCTTGCTTCTAAAAAATGCCGCATTAGGACTTGCACGTCAGTTCGGTCAATATTGCTAATTTGACTGTCGTCAAATCTATTTTGCAGTCATCGACATTCAGTGGTACTACTTGGTACAATTTGTCATCTGTGCAAACTGGCCTTGTGGTAATGCTTTACTCTGCGTCAAAAACTATTTCAGCAAGGTTGGGTTCACTAACTGGTGTCCTGTTGCTGAATGATGTAATCACCCAATATGCCTGATGCAGGTCAGTGGCTCACTGTATGGTGCTTTGATCGGCTGTGTCTTGGCATATACAATTGCAGACTTTTTAGGTATCACTATCACCCCTCTTCTTTTTCCATGCTACTGCTGATCTACGGCGCAATTTAGTCTGGTCGTCTCATTATTATTTATCCCAACTACCTTGCACAGGACGACGCAAAGAGCTTATCCTCGCTTCTATCTCATATTTGATTGGAGTCCTTCTGACAGCAGTAGCACCCAACTTCGCTATCATGGTGGTTGGCCGCTTTTTATATGGCATAGGAATTGGATTGGTAATGGAATCTCTTGTCATAGTTGACACTGCACATTGCCTAGCATATGACCACACACATTTCTTTATGAGGCCTTATGCTTATGTTTTGTTTTGGGGGCAAAACAAAGATATGATGCTTATGTAAGCTGCTTTCATCAGGCTATGCATGCTGCTCCAATGTATATTGCAGAGACAGCACCGAATCAGATAAGAGGCATGCTCATTTCTCTAAAGGAGTTCTTTATTGTTCTTGGGATGCTTGTAAGTGTATACTATTTTTTTTTCTTTATCACCCCTTCAGCAATCTTTCGGTCTTCTTATTTACTTGTATTTCTGCAGCTTGGTTATATAGCAGGAAATCTCTATGTTGAAGTGGTTTGTGGTTGGCGTTACATGTATGCCTCCAGCACACCATTATGTCTCATAATGGGAGTTGGAATGTGCTGGTTACCCTCATCACCTAGGTGGCTCTTGTTATGTGCCATACAAGGGAAGGGAAATCTGCCAGAGACAAAAGAAAATGCAACCCGGTGCTTATGTCGGTTGAGGGGTCAAGGTTCACCTGATTTGGTCTCAGAGCAGATTGACTTGATTTTGGAGGAACTTTCGTATGTTGATCAAGAGAAGCAAGCTAGCTTTGGTGAGATCTTTCAAGGAAAATGTCTTAAAGCAATGATAATTGGATGTGGTTTGGTGTTCTTTCAGCAGGTGATCTCTTATATCTTTAATTTGGAATATATTCCTGTGCTTTTACTAACACAGGGCATTCTTTTCTGAAAAATAAATGTTATGGTCTTTCATCTGATCCTGGCTTATGTGTATATGTAGGTCACTGGTCAACCTAGCGTGCTATACTATGCTGCTACGATCTTTCAGGTACTGACATACTGTTGATTTCCTATAGGGAGTTATCCAGTTCAAGCATGTTTGGGTATTATAGAAGCCCACTTGTGTTAGGACTTACTGTGATGATCTCCAGTGTAGGGGTTCAGGGCTTCAAAACACTATCAATCTAACTTTCAGGGTGGAAATAATTGTCAAACTTGTCTGGGCAACTTGCGATTAGTACTTTTTAGACCCCACATTATTCTCTTGAGTTCCTGTATCACTCATATCTATCATTTGTTTGCAAGCAGAGTGCTGGATTTTCTGGGGCATCTGATGCCACTCGTGTGTCAATTCTTCTTGGCTTACTGAAGGTACATGTGAATACTTTTGCATATGCTTTATTGAAATTTAACCTGAGTATTTTACTATTTTAATATGATTTTTTTACGCCCCTGAAAAGGCCTTTTGCAATGCAATCTATAATTACATTACAGAATTACATTTGAGAGGAAGCATATATTGTTTTTAATCTCGGTCCAAACTGTCTTCCTTTGCAAGGTTCCATGCATCCTTACTCAATACTCAGTAATGACGTTATGGTTTCCATACTGCAGCTAATCATGACCGGAGTAGCAGTCCTTGTGGTTGACAGACTTGGCAGAAGACCATTACTTATTGGAGGTGTCAGTGGAATTGTAAGTCTGCCTCAAGTTGTTTAGCCTTTTAGCGGAAGACAAATGTCTTGATGGGTTTTCCTATGGTTACTGATTACCTGTTGATTCTACAATCTGCAGACTGTTGCCTTATTTTTGCTGTCCTCCTACTACACTTTACTGAAAGATGCCTCCTATGTGGCTGTAATAGCACTTCTACTATATGTTGGTTGTTATCAGGTACTTTCCCCCCTTGTACAATAGCCATCTTACCTTGTTTGAGAACTCCAACAAGGATTATTGTGACTTCTGTCAGCTGGAGCATTATTATTTCTGAAATAGGAGTAGAATGCATTGCCTTGCACCAAAGTTTCAGTAGTTGGCTTCTGCTTCAAATCTGTGAGTTCATATGTGACAACCTAACCTATCTGACAAAGAGAACTTTCTCTGCAGCTCTCATTTGGTCCTATTGGCTGGCTTATGATCTCAGAGGTTTTCCCGCTGAGGCTACGAGGGCGTGGACTGGGTGTTGCCGTTCTTGTGAATTTTGCGTCCAACGCTCTGGTCACCTTTGCTTTCTCTCCACTGGAGGTACGAGCCTACCCTGTCCTTCTGTTTCTGTCACCAAGAGTGTTGCTATGAATTCATGTCATGTGCAATATATGTGCAATCTGATGTCTGTTGATGATAACTGTGTGTATGCATGGTGTCGTAGGATTTGATTGGAACGGGGGCGCTCTTCTCTGGATTCGGGGTGATTGCTGTGGCATCTCTTGTATTCATATTCTGGATCGTCCCTGAGACAAAAGGACTCACCCTGGAAGAGATTGAAGCGAGTCTGTAGTTGTAGTCTGCTGCCGTAGTTAGCTTTATTCCTATAAATGTTCTACAAGCTGTTGTAGCAATAATACTTCTTTCTTTCCCGGTATAAACCGAGACGGTAGGTTGCTGCAAGCCTGCAATATTAATCGATGGGGCATTGCATTGGTACTGTAGACTGTAGAGCTAGCGCATTCAGCATTCAGCCATCTTGACAGTTGGTTGTAGAATGGGTTTACGACCTGTTTGTTTAGGCCTTTGCTTTTCAAAAGCTGGGCTTCCGTGGGCTGCATACACACAATCCAGAAGTTGGCTTTTGAAAGTTTTCAGAAGTTGGCTTTTGAACAAATGAAATGCACAGACGACATCCCACAGAATCCAGAAAATAATGGCTGGCTGCGTGCAAAACTTTTGCAGAGGCTGAAATAAAATTTCCTTTTTCTAAAAAATTGAGGTATTATTATGATTTTGCCAAAATGACTTGCCATTCAATCAATATGTCAAGCTTAGTACTGATAAAAAAACAAAATTGAGTCTTTGAAACATCTATACTCTTCTAATTTATTGACATATTTTGATGATTTTTTTTACAATATCATCCTCAAATATCAATTTGGTAATAACATGTAAGTAATGGTGATGCAACTGTGTTGTGGGTAGTTGGGAAATAACTCACGCTGACTCTACCACCGAAAGACCAAACAGTCGTGGAGGGCCGACGGCCATAACACGTATCCTAGTCGGCTCGGCTTTTCATACGACTGAGAAAATATCACTGCCACATCTATTGTTAACCCGTCGGTGGTAGAAGTTTCAACTGCCGGTTTTCTTCCTCAGGAGGCGTTGCTATCAGTCAAACCGGCGATGGAAGTATAACACCATCGCTTCTATCGCTACAGCAGTGAAAGTGGTGACAGCGATATATCAATCTGTAGTAGTGTTTCACCAATGCACAAATGCACAGCTTCTATGCGCATGTTAGCATATGGTACTCCTACTGACATGTGGGATGAAAATTTTAGAATAGGTGAAAACACAATTATTGAGTGCATGAAATTTTTTTGTCAAGGTGTGATTGCAAATTTTGGTGAAAAATGCCTAAAGAGGCCAACTAGAGAAGATATTCAACGTTTACTTCATATAGGTGAAGCTCGTGGTTTTCCGGGTATGTTGGGAAGTCTAGATTGCATGCATTGGCAATGGAGAAATTGTCCAAAGGCATGGAGGGGCAGTATACCTACGGCGACATAAAATATCCTGGTGTCATGCTAGAAGCTATTGCCTCACATGATCTTTGGATATGGCATGCATTTTTTGTGTTGTTGGGTCCAACAATGACATCAACGTCCTAAACCAGCCACCTTTGTTCACCGAAGTACTTCAAGGAAGATCCCCGAAAGTTCATTTCACAGTTAATGGAATTGAGGACAACATGGTGTATTACCTAGTGTTGTGGGGTCAAAACCGCGAGTTCGAGTCAGTGTCAGAGTACAGGTCTCCGGTGGCTCGGGTGGACTTAGGAACACAAGAATCATGTAGAGAAGACGCAATGGTTTATCCTGGTTTGGGCCAATTCGGTCCCTATGTCCAGGAGCTGATGATCCTTGTACTCAAGAGCACCCAAAATTGGGGGGTTACAACAGAGTATAGAGAGAGATTTGATAGGGGGTTAGCTCGGTGCTAATCCTAAGGTTGCCTCACCGCCGGTGGAGTCTTCCCCCTCGTTGGAGAGGAGGAAGGTGATGGGATGTGGAGGAGGAGCTCTTGGTGCCCCTCTCCGGGTTGCCTTGCTCCCTATGCGGAGCGAAGGCGAATGGAATCGAATGGAGTGTCTAGTGATCGATCTGGGATCCTCCCCCTTCTAGGTCCAACCTTATTCCTTATATAATGAGATAGGTCAGGTATATGGCAGTTTGGGGGAACTAGTCTACGGTCTATGTGTGCTGGGGTCTAGGAGGGTCTTGCAATGGTGCGCCGTGGACTATGGCGGTGTCTTGCTGCCGAAGAAGCCTTGGACGTCGTCTGGCTGCTCTGTTCTGACACTCTGTGTGTCAGGTTGTGTCGGCTTGGACCGACCTGCCCCAGATGGATCTTCTAGAGTCTTCTTGATGGCGAAGGAGGTCGGCTCTAGGGGCTGACGTGCAGGCCCAGAGCCCCCGAGCCCCTGGGAGGCCAAGGGAAAGCTTGGTCTTCTTGTATCTTGTCCCGGACATGACCCTACCGGGGGAGCAGTTGGTAGGGCTGAGCCTGGGGAGCGGCGCCAGGGAGGCCCCGAGCATCGATAGCACGGAGCTTGTCTTCTTATGCCCAGGCCTTAGCTGGCGTCGTTAGCCAGGCAGGAGCCAAGGGTCGGGCCTAGATGCGTCATAGATCCAGTGCCTGGGGCTCGGGCGAGCCCCTGAGCCCCAAGCAGCGGTTGTGGCCAAGTCAGGCTTGGCCGGGTCTCTTTGCCAGAGGGTGTGCGCGAGTGGGCAACCTGAAGGCGATCCTGAAGGGGTCGGTCGGGGGGTCTTCTTTGGTCGGGGACCATTGGAGCTGAGGCTTAACATACCCATATGTTAGGATCTCATCACCTAGCAGATGGCATTTATCCCGAGTGGGCAACATTTGTAAAACAATACCTTGCCTCTATGTGAGAAAGTGTCAGATTATTTTTCTTCGGCAATATCTAGCAACGTGATCACGTAGACGGGATCAGATGGTAGCACACAAGACATAGAGATTTATACTAGTTTGGGGCGTGGTGGCGCGCTAAACCCTACTCCAGTGGTGTGGCTGCTCTTGTATTCGTATGCTCAATAACAGGGGCTGTTGCTCCTAGCTACGAGGTAGATTGGAACAGTGGAAGATGAATCTCGAGCCCGAGGTCTCTACCCTCCTTTATATAGGCAGGAGAGGTAGGGTTATAGAGAGGGCGATTGTTTTCCTAGTTTGTTACATGATATGTGCAACAGATTGATCCTAGCTATCGTCCAGATATACCCGCCCTGGTTTGCCTTGATCTCCATATTGGTCGATCGCGTCAGCCCTTGTGGGCCCCCTCCTTGATGGTTGCTGGGCCGATAGCCTGGTGATGGTCACATATACGGGCGGTGCAGGTACCCCTGGCCATATATCTGATTGTAGCCACATAGGACTTAATGATAAGCATGTAGCTTTAGCCCTCAAGACGTCACAGTCCCCCCTGCAAGTTCTGTGTACTGTAAGTACCAGTGAGCATTTTTGTCGGGTACCGAAGATTTGAGCAGCGTAGCTTGATATTCCCAAGCATTGGGGAGCCAGTATGTTGCCGATCGAGTACCAAGAGCATTTCTTGGGTAGCGAAAATCTTCTTCAAGTATCGAGTGGGCAGCGGTACACCGTACATTAGGGAACGTAGCTCCCTGGCAGTTGTAAGCGCCTGGCTCGGGTGGTACACCCAACATCGGGAAACATAGTTTCCTGGGCGTAGCCCTCGGGACGTTGTCAACGCAGCGTTCGGGTGGTGGCACCCGATAACCGGAAGCATAGCTTCCAGGACGTCCGTAGGCGCCATGGTAGGGTGGTAGCACCGTTGTACTAGAAAAGTCGGTTCCCGAGGTATTCCGGCGTGTAACTAGTGGTTGCGCATCATTAAGTCCTAGTCGTAGAACAATAATGAGGACAGGGTAGTTGCACCCCCGTCGCTCGCACGTCACTATGCCTGTTGGTTTTTGGGTGACCCGATTTGGGTCGTTTGTTAACAAACACTAAGCGAGTCACATTTTTCTTTGAGACCCGTTAAGTAATAGATCTCGAATTTTTGTGGGCCTCATTAGTGGAAAAAGCGATGTCATTGTCTCAGAGCCCTAAGACCAATATAACAGCATCCCGAGCTGAGAACTACTGTGGGCGAGTAACGAACACGTGAGCAGCTGTGGGCAGTTGTGCATATTACTTTTCGAGCTGGTAACGGGTAGAACGAGTGAATGTCCACGTCCTAATGAATAGGGGCGGTAGGACAAAGCCTGACTAGTGGGGGCACGTCATAAAACTCTTTTTCCAGAGTCCAGGAGCTTATACTTTGGTTACAACAATGGGCCAACCAGTTTTCCGATTTCCCAAAAAGGGACACACATCCACTGAAATAAGGTACTTCGAGCTCGTCTGGGCATTGGGAGATTTACATGACATCGAGTGTTAGAGGTTTTGGGATAAGACTAGTGACCCTCCCGAATACCCCCCTGACTCTTAGTAGGGGCTGGGTCGATAGTGAACAGGTCACTACCGCTTACACCTACTGGAGGGGTGAGCCGAGGCGAGTACTCAACCTGAGTGTCAGGTCACTCGCCTACACGGGCTCGGGTGATGGTACGTCAGGTTTTGGCCCAGTGGGCCCCACGGTTCCCGCGGTTGTGTGGATGGATTTCTTCTCGGTGAAGCTGAGGCATCAGTTTCGGCGGCTCATTTTCCCATGTGTTTTTCTCGGAAGGCGTCCCCTCGGAGATTGTGGGGACGTGGCCTAGCCTTCACTGACGCCACCGCTCGGGGAGATTTTTGGAATTCCATTAGCCGTGCGCATCCCCTGCCTATAAAAATAGGGGAAACAGATGAGAGTTAGTAAGTCTATGCTATAGCGTCTGTATTCTCACCTTTTGTTGCTTGCCATAGATGGTGGTAGCGTGGTCGACTCAGGGTAGCCCCCGAGGGAGCACCCGAGGGTCGTTGTCGACGGAGTGCCCGAAGGCGGCATGTCGACGTAGCTGGTAGCTACACGATGATGTAGCCAGAGACGGCGTGACCGGTTCGAGGTAGCCCCCGAGGGAATACCCGAGGGTCGTTACTGACGGAATGCCCGGAGGCGGCGTGTCGACGTAGCTAGAGGCAGCTCGGCTGACTCTATGTTGTCGACGTAGGCTTTGTTATTGTGCATCTTAAATCATGAAGACAATATCAGTGAGTATTTATTCGGTAGTTGAATAAAATGAGCACGTAGTAAAGCAAGTATCAATTTCCCTTTATGAGCTATATTCTCTGTGTTATGTGCTTTGTCAACTGGACCATAAC